TCTTGTATTTTGGTTTACATTTTTGTGTGAAGTGTCAGACAGATCCGTTAGTGAATGTGGAAGTTTTCTGGAAGGTATACCCCCCCCCCCCTTAAGTCTTCTTCTCTCTCTATCCAGCAGTTCACGAGTGCTCTCGCTGGCGAGATCAGAGATGACCTCTTTGCGGCCTTTACTTTCTGTGTTATCGCTATTTTCTGCTTTGTGCGGATGAGCTTACATTTCCACCAGTTCGTTTCGTAACGAGTGTAATTCGCTACGCAACAAGCTCAATTTTTTCTTGTGGTTCTCCTCCATTTCGGCTCTATTTCTCAACTCCTGCTTGTTGGTTTCTTCCATTTCGGCCTTAAAGACAGAAAACATAGAAGAGCACTTCTCTTCCACCATCTTTTCGCTTTTTACAGCGCTAAGTGCAGGTTGTTGCCAGTGTACTATGCCGCGTCTACGTCGTGGGAGTACCCTGGCCTGCGCGTCGGACGGATGCCCGGCATACTCGTGGGTCAGGCCAAACGGCAGAGGCCCCCCGCCCGGATCGCTGCCGGACGGAGGCTCCTTTCTTCATTTTTTCGACCAAGGGTTGGGGAACCTCGGCCTCCCTTTCCCCCTACCCACATCTTTGGCCGCCTATCTTTCCTGAGGCACCCAATGCCCTTCTCTCCTCACATCTTTTCTTCCTACTCGTCCTTCTCCTCCTGACCCAGGGTATCCATCCCAACCCTGGCCCGCACCCCTGCTCAGTCTGCTCCATCCCGGTTACACTGCGATGTTACTCGCTCCTGTGCTCCATGTGCAATGCCTGGACCCACAAGCGGTGCTCCGGCGTTCACTCCATTCACCTCTACTCCGCAGACTGGATCTGCCCTACGTGCAGATTAGATCTATGAACAAGGCACGAAAAGGAAAAGGATCGGCGACAGGCCACATCAGGCCTACACTTCAGCGCCGACATCACTATGTTATGTTATGTTATATCCCCGCAACGATCACAGGCCACTGTAGCGTCATTGACGTTAAGCGATACCAGCTTGCAAAATTTACAAATTTCCTCTCGCTCATTTTGCGATTTGATCTTCGCATTCGGTTTAACAGGACTGGAGGCCTTTTCAATTAATCTTTTTCCTCACTGACCAGCCATCATGAAATGCAAGAGCTAAAAAATACAACTTAAAACTGAATCAAATTGAGTAAAAATTGTAAAGTTTCCAAATTGCTGTAAAAACTCGGTTACAGACTTGAGAATAAGCGGCTTTCCGAAAGCGGTTGTAAAGGTGTTCAGGGTAGAGGAGGTGAACTTGGACGTGACACAAAGGCTGGTATTGTTATACTGTACGCTGCGTCGAGGACGTGCACGTTGCTCTCGCTTGCAAGCGACCTTCGCTGACTCTAGAATAGAATAGAAGTGTCGGTATTGAAGAAATAGGCCGCGTTATTATCTAAAGCTCGCGTTATTTAAGATGAAAACACTTTTACTCTAGGTTCGTTCTTTCTATTCGCACTCTCTTTTGCTGACTCACTGAAAATTCAGTCATCCACTGACACGGGTCATAAAAAAATGCGAAAAGAGTTCCGAAAACGGCACAGTGAAAGTTGAAAGGTGAAAATCTGGGATCACAAAACACGAGCGTCCGCTCTCGACCACGACTGATGACCAAATGATCACAGACAAATGATCTTGACCACAATGACCAAATGAATCACTGATACAATGCAATTACTGAACATCGTTCTCTCGAGTTTGCATATAATGATTTAGTACCAAGAAATTAACGAGACAAGAGCCAAAAATTAATTACAAGTTGTAAATGAACCGATTTTTATCCGGCAACGTAGGGAAACTGTTTGGAAATCTTAGCAAAATCAAGTGTAAAGTCATAGCAAAATATGTTGCAACGTTACGTGGAATCTAATTATAATGAAAATGCATCCCTATTTCTTTCACTACTTTGATGGAAACAAAAACATAAGCTCTTTAAAGTTTAAAAGAACAATAGTAATGAAATTAGGTGATTGAAATGGCATGTGTCCACTCATGTTGTATGTACGGTTTGACTCGCGCAATCATATCCAAAATGGAGTCAAGTATTAAGCCTACAATTGATATAGTTTCAAACGTTACTTAATGACTGCATGGAGGCAATTGGTTTGATTTAGCGCCGAATTCTGGCGTAAAATAATCAACTAGGGGAGTCTAATACACGAGGCTAACTAAATATTAAAGTTCTACTTTTTAACAACCCAACGGGGCCCTGAACCTAGCTTCACGCCTGTAATATTCAAATATGTTGACGAAAACTCACCAATCTGCAGTTTTAAATAGTCATCCTTAATGTCTTTATTATGACACTCCTGTTTTTATCCTGACAACGACAAAATATCAGACGATCTTTACTCGTAACAAGAGACAGGAGAAAAGCGCAGGGCCATTATATGACAAATTTTAATTTACAAAACAACATGGCCTACAAAAAAATTGGTTAAAATTTATTGTCTAATTAATTCGTTAACGTTTTACGCTTATCGTTAGTCTCGTGTCCGGAGACATAGTCGACGCTCTGTAGCTCGTTCTAGATTAATATTACCTTATCCTTACCCGAGTGAAGACCTCTTGCTCAAACTGTATTATTACTTTTGTTAACTCTTGCTTATCTATACCTTAATTTGAGTTTGTGCGAGTGTGGTTTCATTTCATTTTGTTCCATTTAATGCATGTTAGAACTTCTTTGTTTTGCTCGTTTAAGATCTTGCTTAACTACTGGCTTTACGCCAGTGCTTGGAACCCGTTGGGTTATTGGCTCCTTGGAGCTTCGGTGTTTAACCGATTTTATCACATGCCTTACCTTAGTGCTGTGAATTAACTTGCATGCTTGCATGCGCTTAACTCTCTTTAAGTACGAGTGAACACTCCTATTACTATTTTCACTATTTTCGTTCTTATAGTTCTCTACATGAGAACTCTTGGCCAGGGTTCCTCAACGGAAACAAATAGGTTTATTTTGATTACTTGAAACTGTGTTATCATTATTCTGAATTTACTTGAATTACTATACTGAAATTCACTGCGTTAAAACCTTGAATCTATTAATTTTAGGCTTAAGTTGGTTTTCTGTCTTATTCAGATAAGAAGCAACCGCCTCTGCTTGGTCTTCGACTCAGCCGTTTCTGTTTTGTTGAGCTGAACTACTTGCATATTACGTTCTGTTGCCACCGACAATATATGGTGAGAATTAGAGAGAGAGACATTCACCTGAAACAGTGACTCACTTAACTGAAATTAAATATTGTGTTCTAGACTCCTAACGTTCGAGCTTGTACTTATGTGCGAACGTATTCTACTACAGTGCACGAGTACCTCATCGCGCTTCGTGCTTCACGTTTCCTCCTGGCTTCGTTCTGCGAACCAATTCTCTTTTCGGAACCTCTGCAATAAAAGTTTCAACGCTTTCTTTGTTCTTTAATTTCCAATTGTACCAAAATTCAATAAATTCGGAGCCCCTATCTTGGTTAATTAAAAAATTATTTTTCAATATCTCTGCACCATTAATGACATCAGTATAAAAAAATAACTAAGTGAATATCATTAGTGAATTACTGAAGTCGAGTGAGCACTGCCAGAAAATTATGTAGCCGTTTGTTAGCGAGATGGTACAATGACGTATGTAATTATTCTCATTCTTGATTTTTGCATCTTTACCTGACAAGTGAATTTCTAGAGATCTTAAATTAGGCAAGTACCTAAAAATGCAATTAGTAAATTCTCAAGACGTGGGTCTATCGAACATCAGCCTTTATTTCATTTTTGCCTTTCCTCCCTGTTGCCCCTATCAACCCTAAAACATATTCACTATAGTTACACTGCAAATTTCTTCAACGCCTCATTTCCTATCTTTCTCCGGCTGTTGAAAACTTTGCTTAGCGAAGCAAATTGATCTGATTATTAATCTTAATTTCTCCACTCAAAAGTATAGGTACGACGTGCAACACAGTAGATGCATAGACGTGAATCCTTCGTTTACCCACCAATCTGTTTAAATCCAACCAGCAAATGTTGCATGACAGCTAAGGAAGGTCAGTGGAAAATTGGAAACTGATACGAAAACTGGCGTTTTTTTCTTAGAGCTTATATTAATAATATTTATTTTTAAAGTAGTTGTATTTTACAAGGGAACGTGCACCGCCCTGCAGGGCTTATGTTAAAGAGGATGAAGGAGGGAGGAGTAGAACGGAGATAAACTTAGTGATATAAAGCGATATTTACCTGAAAGCGCTTTCTGTAGGCACCATACAGTAGACGGAGGCGAAGTACAGCCTCGCCTCCGCTATTAGGTAACCTATCTCGTGGCATCAATCGTTGTTCTGAAGTAGCCTTGAGTTGATGACAATCAACAGCTAAGAGCTTTTCGAGGAGCAACGTTAGAAAGAACTACATAAATTACTCTTAAAAGTACCGCTTCTGTTAAAATTGAAAGCCTTACGATCGACGGCAGCGGAACCGTGAAGCTGGCCGGTCACTGTTTTAGGGCCCTCAATAATTTCACGATGGCCGTGTTGGCTCAGCTTTCCTGCCGTGTGTGTACGGGCACCCGACGGTCGTTTCGGCACAGCCGCGTAACGACTCACTGCGATAACCGTACCTTCATCATCTCTGTGATCCCGCCACATATTAAATAATTTCTATAATGTGTGAAAACAATGAAATCATCTGTTGAAAAAGGTTTCAGCATTTCGGGTTGTACTAGTGATCAGGGTTTAAGTATGTAGATGCTACTTGAATGTCTGTCCAGGTGTCTACAGGATATTTTGTTTTCGTTGGTCGGTGCTCCTATTTTTGCAAACCTTTTAACTATAATCTTTATTTCGGTAGGATTCATGCAGAACGCCTTTAAACGCCACTCTTTATATCGTCTCGCAGACACGCTACCTAATCAATTGGTGTACTGGAAGTGAAGGGGAAATTGAAATGAAGAGATTAGGTATTAGAAAACTTCATATTTCCAATATAGGTATTAAACTATAAACTGTGCATTCGTTCACCCATGGCAAACATTAGTAAGATGGCATTGTCAGGTTGTCACCGAATAATGGACTTATTGTACGTCACCAACAACAGCCTCTTATACTACTACGAGATCCGAACGAGAAATTGAATCTTGATCAGTCTAATGATGTATAAATATAATTTGTTTGGAGACAATTGCATGACAGATTGAATACGTTCCAATTAATATATTTAAAACATGTTTCTTTAATGTTATCAACTTTTAATTACAGGATTTTTACCTGGAATAAGAGATACGATGGTACGGGATGCGAAGTTTGAATGCTGTTATTGGCCCCTCAAACGCTGAGATCACAGCAACCGACATTGAACTTTTTCAGCAGAAGTTACTTTACAGATTCTAATTGATATGAAAGCGTAATAGTAAATTCCGTGAAATTATACAAATTATGTCACTATAAACTAGCTAAACAAAACTAATTACAAAACACTGTGCACAAGAATCCTTAAACGCGCTTTAATCCAAATGAGCTTCCAAACAGCAGCGCATATCGATAAGCTAAAAGCCTAAAATCTATTGGGATCGTGAACATGGATGGCAGACTGCGGCGACTCTGAACTGTTGAAGAGAGTCGTGAGATTTCCGGCAGGATTTTGCGAGGGACGAGCGATGTCTGACGGACGGAGTATGACGTCACTCGGGGGAGATGCATTTGTTTCGTAGGACATTTGGGACACGGCCAAGTGGTAGGGCGGGGGAAGTGAGTTCAAACTCCCGTAGGAATAAGGCATATAACTCTCGTGAGGCAGAGGAACTGTGAAGACAGAGGAAGATTCCTCCGGGGGTGAACGGTGCGCAACGTCTCTGTACGACGGGGGATCAACTCCAATTCTATCCCCGTCCGTGGAAGTGGAAGATTCTGTGGCTGCCGGTGGGGATTCTGGTGCCGAATTGGTAGTCGACGCGACTTTGACCTGTAGAACGGATTCATGAAAAATATGCCAGTCGGCTATTCCGTTATTGAACTAAATCAAATAGTTGTTTGAAAAATTGGAAATAAATTTATTGAGTTTACAATGAAAACGTTTTTGTGCTGTAAGTTTGTTTGTGCGAAAACACCAATTCAAGTTGTCAGCGAAATAAACATAACTCATTGAATTATAATTTTTCGTTATTATTTCTTTATTCAAGACGAGATACTCCTTAATTAGTGACAGAGAAAATAACTATCAAAACATTTTTGAATGGAAATCATGAGATCAACTATCAAAACATTCAATGGAAGTACGGAAAGATACCGACACGGGAGATGTCCTGGGCATATAAGAGCTTTACAATTTTCCTGAAATCGTATTTTTTAACAGGATTCGACGAGTCCATATGATAACTTTTCCAATGATTTTCATGTAAGATTTTGTCTGTTTTCAACATTCCAACAGTGTCAGTATCACACTAAGGCATAATTAAGTTCAATCTTGTAAACTAAACAAAGCTTCTATAAAGCGGTTGACTATAGACGCTGTGTCACCGACCCACGCTGATTACGACTTTTGAAACTCGTAGGGTCCACGTGGGACGTCATAATGAAAATTGTATCTATTATGATACGTAATGAGAAAAAAGCTAACTGCAAAATTATTAACGTAACTACCGAGTTGTGTGGACCGCCAAATGTCTCAACTGGCCATTAAAATAGAACATATAATTTGTCAATCCAAAATCCGTGCAATAAATAAATCTTGATGTCTCGTTTCGCAATGAAATATTTCGTCTCTCCTCGAATCGTTGGGGCATGTCAAGTTATATAGTCTGTCTCGTACCGGGTCAGAGTATCCGGGTAACAATTTCTAACTTTTGTGACACAATGTTTTCTCGATTTCTAACTTTATGCTAAATGGCATTTTAAGTTTTCCCGGTCTTTCCTTCTGGAGTATTTTTCGTCTCAATGTTCCGGCGCAATTAAAGAGAACAATTCATGGGCACAGGAATTTGCATAATCATTTCTTATTTAGTCACAATCATAACTTTAAAAGATGTTCATTGATATGTTAGGTGGTCTTAGGTCCTGTAGCACTTATGTGAAATGAGGCTTCTTGTCGGTATTTAGAAGCTTCTAAGTCGTATTCTAATGAGTTATTTCCATTTTATGAATACACATTGCTTGATCTGTCACTTGGTATTATTTAGACCCTTAATTGTAATGTCAGTGGCGGTCCATCATTGACATCACTCCATCACAATTGTAAAGGCATTAGCCTCACCACTAGTCTGGCTATAATGGAACTGAGTACATCACATTCTAGTGCCGCGAAACGATAAAATCTAAAGTAGAAAGTGTGAGAGCTCGTCATAATTGAGCTCTCATAATTGAGGGTTAATTATATTGAGCATAATAACCCCTCTAATCCCTTATTTCATTTAGGTCCAAGAAACGAATACTGAAAGTCTACATTTGATTGAGAGATCGTGTCAATTGACCATAATTAAACGGCATCTCCACACGATGCCGGCTGACAGCAGCAGCGGAAGACAGATGATGATCAGCACAGCGTCATTCGGTGAACAAGTTTCGGGCCCACGGGCGAAAAATCCAGTGAGCAAACACAGCAGTGATATCGTCAAGCACATGCGGGAGTAAAGCTTGAGCAGGTTTGGCTTACTCTGTAAATAAAAAGAGCGAGTGAGATATAAAATAAAGTGAGGCATCAAGTCTCCTGTTAAGAAAACCGATACCCAATTGAATGACCAACACCAACCTGAGATTTAAAGCCTCGAGTTAAAGCCTGAGATTTAAAGCCCAGCTAGGGTCTGGAACGACAATGCGAATAAAACACAAAGTCGTAACCAAAAACCGAAGGAAGCTATCAAAAACCGGATTCTGGCAACAATTTCAACGCTAAAATACAGGGGTTGGACAAAATAATTGGAACACCTGATAAATTTAGAGAAACTTTATTTAATACGGAGTTGGACCCCTTTAGCCTTCAATACAGCTTCAATACGTCTGGAAATCGAATCATACAGCTTCTTGACTTGTTTTTTTTTAAAGGCCTCCCACACTCACCATTCCAACAAAAAAAAAGGGAATTGATTTTATTAATTAAAAACAGGGAATAGTTTCATGTCAATGATCAGGGCCCCGACCTTAACGCCTCTGATGGTGGCCTACACCGACTCCGATCGAGGGTCACTGAGCTGTGACGCGAGCTAGGAGCGGGCCCACGTAGAACTTTTCTCTGACTGCCGTTAGGATGCTAGCTGCATTGCCTCTCTGCACAGCCAAACCCAACCTTTGCTCCAACCATAGAGTCTCTCTACGTTCGCCGGACAATTCCGTAATGCGACGGCCAATCTGTGATATTAAAGGACCAGTCGTTTCAACATATGTGCCAGTCGTTTCTAATGCGACTGGCTCGAAACGATACCGAGCTGCCAACGCCGCGTATTTACGTCTCTTGCTATCCTCCGCCGCACGAGCCGCGAACCCAGCAGAACTAGCCGAATTATTGACGTGCGACTCTGCAAAAGTGTCGACGCAGGTTGCATCCCAGCACAAACACCTCCCATTAGAAAATGGGAAAACCGTTAAGCCAACTGGTCTCTTACCATCACCTCTGTCCACTCCAACGGGTTCAAAGCAAGTCTTGACTTGTTCTATTGGAATTTTCAGACACTCTTCCAACAAAACCTTCTCCAGTTCATCCCGACAGGAGGAGGACTCGTCTGACTCGTCAGAGGACTGAGGACTCGTCTGACTCGTAGGAGGACTCGTCTGAGAATATTACTCGCCTACACTGGTCTCGAGACCAGGTTTTGTGGTCCTTGCATCACAGCATCCGCTTCTGAATGTTTCCAGAAGAAAGTAGAGGTTTCCTGATAGCGGCTCTTCTATGGTATCCACCATTATGAAGCTCACGACGAACGGTTTTGGTAGAAACTTCATTGCTGAGATGCTGATTTAACTCTGCACGCACCTTTGTAGCCGTAGATCGCCTATTTTTTCATAATACGGTTTAATGTCCTTCGATCTCTATCAGATAGCTTTGAGGGTTGACCACATTTAGTGCGATTATTAGATGTTTCCCCTGTTTTTCGAATTGCGTCATCGTCCTTGATATAGTAGCTCTCGAAAAACCGAAAACCTCAGCAACTTTAGTGATCGAAGCTCCTGTCATGCGAGCACCACCAATTTGCCCTTTTTCAAAATCAGTTAAGTCACGCATCTTACCTAATTTTTAAATAAATCTAGAATAGATTGTGCCTTTACCTGTAATAGTAAAAACAACATATATTAATTATGTATGTATACCAACATAATAAAACTCTGATGAATGTTTTGGACAGAGGAGGAATTTAAAGAAAAGGTACTAATAAGTGTAGTGTTCCAATTATTTTGTCCAACCCCTGTAGATATATGTACTACTTTAAAAAATCATAAGAATTATAAAGTTAAAAAATCATATGAATTCTAAAGTGAGAGGTTTTAAAAAATTATACGTGTTTAAAGTAAAATATGTGGTTTTAAAGTTAAAGCAATGAAAACTAAGAAATAAAAAGTCGTAGCAAAATTGTAAATCAGTTCATTTAAGTTTGGACGATGGTCAACACAGACGGCTAATAAACGGCGTCGAAGTCATCATGCGTCAAGGGGAAAGCTAGTGCAAGGTGGCAACCGCAATTACAACGTATAATTGCTTATATATTTCTACTAGCTTGGCCTCACTAGTGATTACCTTCTTTACTCCGTAGTAAAGCACGCCGGCTGCGCACCCTGAGCTCAGACTTATGACCCATAGCAGAAATATTCGCAATCCACCTGAAAGTACAATAATAATTACTTGTCAATGTAGAACCATTTTTATCTTGATTATTTACCTAGTGTATGTTTAAATTGCATATCTTTATTTAATTGGGAAAATATCTCAATGACACAAAATCCTAGATTTGATTTAAATAATATGCATCACGATTGTTCAAATCAACAACGAAAACTTTCGTCGGAGTCAATAATTCTTACTTGAAACGAAGTGATTTCTTACGATATCGCCCTGTACGAATGCGTAAACTGAGACTATCTGAAAAGTATGTCATGTACTAGGATTAATTGAATTAAGGTTGGCTATATAGCATAGCGAAGTATTCCTCCTAATTTGTATTTACCACATTTGTATTCCTACGTTTTTATATAAAAAGAACTACAACAGAAATTCATGAATAATCTCACGGCCCAAGAATTGACAGAGACAAATAAACTTAGAATTTTTTTTTTAAACGCCCACTTCAAATTCATGAACGTAATTCTTCACTCATCTCATTATCATTCTCATCGCTCATTATCAAAAATCATTCTACTTTATGTTCACAGTTTTTGTATCTTGCAAAAACTGACCGAGGTGAGTACAACTGCGGCCTTCCCAACGGCCGTGTAGCGGATGACACAGCACGCGTTGTTTGCACTCATGGCACTTGCGCATCTGTTTACCAAATAACGACAGAAGAATTTCTAAACTAGAGTCCAACTGTACAAATCACTTTGATCTTCTAATTATCCACAATTATATGTTATCATTGAATGTTCTGGTATACGTATACTCTTCCTTATTATGAGTAGCGTTATGTGTTGCCAAACGACATCCAGTAATGAACAAAATATGATTCAAATATTTCTAAATTATTGGTTGAAAATAATTAAACACAACAATCAAAACATTAGTGTAATCAAAAACATGAATTAAGGTGGTAGATTAGTGAACATTTTTGCCAGTGAGGAGAAATGATGTATTTCATACCACGGTCTTCCAATTAACACTGATACCGTTGCTTTGGTGTAGTGTCCAGCGGCTCACCACGTCATGTACTGCGCAAAGCAAAAAACATTTATGATGCAATTATTGAGTATCCAAAACTATTTATCTTATCACGATTATCTTGTCGCTTCTATCAGCTCTGACTCGGATCTCCTGGTACCAGTGGGAGGGATATTTTCAAAAAGTTCTGCATGTAGACGAAAATTTACTTTGTTTGGTGTTATTTCCCGTTACTGTTGGTAGTCTCAATAGCTAGAAGTATCCCATTCTAATTTATGTGATAGTCAACCCTGCCTCTACAAACCCAATAACGTCGACTATTCTGGCACTAAATCATAAGCCGCACAATAACGCGTTTGCTTGCGTTTTCCGCGTATTGCTGTGCTGATAATGACCGGTGAACAAACACCCCATCTCATCTAATAGATATCAAATGCAAGAATTTTACATGACTCTTTGTGATGATTGGTGCGGACAAGCTTATTGCGACTAGCCATGCATACAGACGAAACATGACGTGGCATTTTGTAACTCTTTTCGGTTTGTAAACGATACTGTCAGAAAATCAAATTCCTTTTCATCTTGAACTTGGCTAAATCGAAGGAAAAAATTACAACGAAAGTTTAAACTTTTATAGTGCACTCAAGAGATGTAGATAAACGGGGGCCGAGATAATATCATGAAAGTCAAAAGTCGAACCCGCGGCAAAAAATTGCGAACAACAATTTTGTTACAGCAATCGGGACTTTCATACAACAATATGTGAATATGAAATGAATGCTGCGCTGATACAATACCATTGCACGTCGCTCTCTAGAATTTCTTCAGTTTAAACGTGGTCAACGGAGAATTGCAATTAAGTAGTAGAGAAATTGACGCCAAAAGCTGCCGAGGTTTAAGTTCAAATTGTTCATTGAATTTAACCTCTTAGCAAATTCTTACGTGGCAACCGCAGAAAAGCTGTTTAGAAATCCTGTCGCATATTAGACCACCTAATGCAAAATAAATTGCAACATTATTGGAAATCTTACAACTGTAAGGACTTTACACTATTGAATTTGGATTCTACAAATTCATTTAATCAATTATCTCTAAAAATATTTGGCTGCACAGGCAATGGCGCATCCACAGTTTGCTACATCTGTCGTAAAACAAAGCAAGCTGCCCTTCTTTTGGTAACAGTAGCAGAGAATTAAAGATAGCTTTCAATTAGGTTTCCTTGTTCTGAGCGCGGAGAAGCTCAAGTGCGCCAGGCACGGTCTCTTAGTAGTGCTGTGACGTCAGCGTGAAGCAATGAAACGCGGACTTGACGCAATGAAGCGTGGACGTAACGCAATGAAACGTGGCGTGACGCAAAAAACCGTGGACGTGACGCAAAGAACCGTGGACGTGACGCAATGAAACGTGGACGTGACGCAAAGTGTGACGTCACAAGGAGGGAAAAGGAGCAACGACAGCAGAACCACAAAATTGCAGATACTAGAGAGAGAAAGCAAAAAATTCACTAGGCTCTAATCATGAATTAAACTGGTAAAAGTGATGAAGCGGTAATTTCAAAGATATTTCACTAATCTATTTAACACCTTTTTAACAAACCTGAGGTTCTTAATGCCCGTGTTGAGATTAAATGATGATACATGGGAATTGATGTTTAGAAATTTAAAGGAAATCAGTAATAGGAGTAGAAATTTGGACGGGAGAAGACCGCATGAATATGTGGAGGTTTAACTGCGTATTGAAAGAGGATCACGGACTTCAACTATTAATGACACAATAAATATTGCCAAGCGAATTTATTAGCATAACAAACTACCAACGCGAATTTCACGTATCCTACTTTAGGCTAGAATATATACTTGATATAATCCGATGATGTTCTCATATCATTTTTTTAGATTTTTATTTGATACAACTTAGTAATGATTCGATATAAATTTAGCACAGATTTGACAATTTTAATGCAGATTTAATATAAATTTAATATAAATTTGAAATTGAATCTGATATAAATTAGATTAAAATAGCGTAAATTCTGTAAATAACAGAACTGACGGCGACTCTGAACTGTTCAAGAGAGTCGTAAGATTACCGGCAGGAGCTTGCGAGGGAAGAGTGATGTCTGACGGACGGAGTATGACGTCACTCGGAGATGTATTTTTTTCGTAGGACATTTGAGACACGGCCAAGTGGTACGGCGGGGGAAGTGTGTTCAAACTCCCGTATGAAAAACCCCTATCTCTCTCGTGAGGCAGAGGCACTGTGAAGATAGAGGAAGATTCCTCCGGGGGTGAACGGTGCACAACGTCTCTGTACGACGGGGGATCATCTCCAATTCTATCCCCGTCCGTGGAAGTGGAAGATTCTGTGGCTGCCAGTGGGGATTCTGATGCTGAATTGGTAGACGACGCGACTTTGACCTGAAACGCGATCGAAAGACGCGACTTGAAAAATATGCCTGTCGGCTATTCCGTCATTGAACTAAATCAAATAAATGTTTAAAAATTGCGAACCAATTTATAGGTATTGAATGAAAAAAGTTTTTGTGCTGCAGGTACGTTTGTGCGAAAATACCAATTCAAGAAGTCGGCGAAACAAACAAAAGTCATTGAATTTTCATTTCTTGTTCTTATTTCTTTATTCAAGACCAGACGCTCCTATATTAGTGATAGCGGAAATGATAATCAAAACATTTTTCAATGGAAATCATTAAAATCAACAATCAAAACATTCAATATGAATCCGAAACGATTCAGACACGGGACGACATGTCACGGGCATATAAGAGCTGCACAATTTTCCTGCAATTCTATTTTAACGGGATTCAATGAGTCACATGATAGCTTTTAAAAAATTTTTTTGCAAAATTTTGTCAGTTTTCAACATTCAACTGCATCAGACTAAGACATAGTGTAAGGTCAATCTTGTAAATGAAACAAAGCTTATATAAGCGGTTCACCGACCCGCGCTAATTGCGACTTTTGAAACGCGTAAGGTCCACGTTGTGCGCCAGTGCGCCACGATTCAAATTGTATCTATTATGAAACGTGATAAAAGAAGAGAGCTAACTACAAAATTTTTCTGCCATCCATGCAACGCATTGACGTAACTGTCGAGTTGTGTGGACCGCCAAATGTCGCCAAATTGTCTTAAGGTTTGTATTCAAAGCCGCCCGAACTCCACAGCGACCTTGCTCGAGTTTGCTGCCGAGACGCGTGAGGGCTGGTTATCTTACGTCTGGCCGACGCGATGCCGTAGGAATGCCTGCTAGCGCAGCCGTGTCGGGCTGGACCACCGTACAAGCTTACAACAGTGCACATGTAATGAATGAGCTTTGACTACTGCCAGCAAATTCTTTGCTATTTACAGCGCGATCGCGCGATCTTAAAAAAAAAATAAACATAATGATGTGCCGTCATTTTAAATCTTTTTCCATGTTATTTATTTAATTTTTCCGGTTCAAGCAAGGACGTGATTATTGTAAAGTTCATCATGGCAAAAAATAATTTAGGCTTTGATACCCTTTCTTTCAACTGAATAACATATTTTATTTAACTTGTGATAAATAAAGTGAACAAATTATATTAACAGAATACAACTTGGATGTGCATAGACCAATTCAGACCAATAGTTAGCTCGTAACGATAGAGCGACACTGGCATGAAGTGCGTCGATGCTTGTAGCATGGGTATGGAGAAAGAAAGGGAGGTTGTGGCACCGCAGTGAGGGTTATTAGAGGGATAGGTGTGCGCGGACATCTGTGAGGGTTTCACACACTCATGTCTGACACCCCTACTCTCGCCACCTCGTCAAAGAAATACCAATATCTTTCACTGTAATAGGAGCTTAGACTTCAAGCCAAATTGGCTGTTTTCACACAGATATATATTATATATTCATTTTCATCATATAAATGCATCACATTCAACACCTAAATCATTAACATTATATTTAATTCAGAGAGTACAAATTTCTGAACGGAAGACATATTGTCACTAGACTATTAATTATTTTTTTCTGTTATAGGCACGTCAAGGGAAGGTTAAAGAAAGGCGACGAAATTTTAACTTTTACGGTTAATCAGGATTTATCAAACTACAGAGACAGTAATTCAGACTATACAGAGGCCAAAAGTTTACTTATAATGACAGTGATACTGGCTGTCACTTGCACAGCAACAGCGAAGTATCCGTCTTCATGGGGATGGAGACAGAAAGGAAAGCTGTGAAACCGCAGTAGGGGTTTTTACAGGGTAGGGGGAGGGGTTGTAAGGGAAAAGATTGTGTAGCTCTTTCTTCTCAAATGGTCAAGGCTCGATCGACTGAATACAGAATGACCCGTATAACGAATATTCAATATCTATTCAATATTCAACATCATCGTTGATAATTCAAGGTAACATGTTGTTTAAGTAAAAATTTTTAAGCTGCACTTCCATTCGCTTGAGCCAAAACATCGGTTCAAAATCAACAACAATTATGTGTATATCTTCTGGTATCCAGGTCACGAAATAACATTTACTTCGTCCGGTAACTTTCATCTGACCTTGAACTTGGAAGAAGTAGGAATGCCTTCTGTTCAGTATTATTTGATCGTCAACGACTTTCAAATGATTGCATTTTTTAGCAATTACATCATCTTTTATTGTCTTGAAATAACGTGCAGAGCTTGGGCATTTGATTTCAACAACGTGGTCATGATCCACAAGACCGTCTTGGGATGCACCTAAATAAGGCAAATCTTTTTCTACGAAAAACCGCATCTTTTCACTGAGATGCCCAATTTTTTTGTAAGCCTTCTAATGCTAAAGTTTCCCTCTCCCGCCCCCACGCTACGGCATGAATCGTGTCACTCAAGCCATTCATTATTCTGTGGGCGACCAACTGCTTGCTTGTTGTTTTTCTCAATTTGCATACAGTCCCGAAATTCGAAGCGGTTAATCTTTTTCTACGTTCATTATGCCATGATGAACAATTACTTTGTTGAATTGTTGAACACTCAAGGGTCTGAATTTGATGTTCATCCAGGGACAAAGTTTGAATAAAGTTACTTTTAGCTTCATCTGACACGGTAGCGAAAGCGTTGCTCTTATAACCGAAAGCTCGACCTTGTCTCCTTTTCAACTTGACAGCACTTCCGTTGAATAGCCGTTTTTTGGCATTGGCCTTCTTTTGAGCCAAATGAGCTTCAATTTTCATCCTGACCTTGTTAGGGGATTTCCGAGGAAGTTTTTCGTGGATTAATGAATGCAAGCGTCCGGTGTTATGTGCTATTACAGCACCATTGCATCTGTTTTTGAAGCCGTCTTTTAACCTAAAGTTTATTCTTTTTCCTCCCATAAACTTTGCAACTTGACTGAAGAAATTTTCTACTCTGTTGCTACTAACGTCATGAATAAGACTGTCTGCTTGGTCCTTCACTCTGTTTAGAATCTTCATTGTGGCTTGAAAAACTCCTGTTTTTTCAAGATCTGGCAAGTGATTTTGATCATCTGGATTTTTACAAAAATAATTTCCGGTTGTTGAGCACATTTTATGATCACCAAAGACATGCCGGGCGCTGTTCAAAATGTCTTTTTGCAACCCCTCGATTTTCTCCTTTTCTGAAACACTCAATTCTTTATGGTGTCTTATAGCGCCATGTATGGCATTTATCAAGCGCTGAGCACGAAACTCTACCAGTTTCCTTTGTTCCACAGAACTAAGTTTCGCTGCCCCTTTAGCTTTGAAGACATCATCTCTCAAATGTTTCTTGCAATTCCTAAAGATGTGATTTCGGCACTCAATTTTTTTAACCTCTTCAGGAGCGTAAGGCATGATTTCGAGCAGTTTCGGGTACACGCTACTATCCCCGTCTCCAACAAAGTAACTGTATTTCAAGCCATGGGTTTCTAGACTCGTAGAAAATCCTTCCGCAAGGATGTCGGCTTCCATTGATGACGGACTGTCATGCCAATTTTGACTGCAGGCATGGTCTTTCGGAGTTTTTTTTACGCTTAGCATACGCGCAGACTGCGCAAAATCGATTGCGTACGCCCACGAATAGAATTTTACCTGAGCGATAGCCAACTATTGCTGCAACTTCAGAGAGAGCTGAGTAATTATGCCCATACGATCGCTTAGACCAGGCACCATCTGCAGTAACTAATATCTTAGGGATACCATTTGCATCTACTCTATTTTCTCGGATGGCCAAATCTTTTTCTTCTTGAGCCGCGACTTGCATGCTTTCCAAAGATGTTTCGATCCATTTGTCACTAACACGTTGCTCGTATTTATGATATGTGTTTTGAGTGACGAAAGGAACGCTGAGTGATCCCAAAAATTCTGAAGCTTGCGACCTTCCGATGCCTATAGCTAGAGCACCTGACACTGCTGAATAATTTGATGAATGCACTCCTTCCTCAGAACTTTCTTCTTCAGTACGGACACACATTTTTAAATTGCACATGCTACATTGGAATTCATAGTAGCGTAAAGCCCTCGTCGGACATCTCTTACGAAAATGAAATTGTAAAATGAACAAATGTTTGTATTATGCAACGCCATTTTACACACATCACTAAAAAGATTTTTGACATCGAAGAGCCTCCTACCACTTAATGGTTTTAATGCATTTTGAAACACTTGTAGAATGTCACTGTTTGTATTAGACACAACACTGCTTCGATCTGATCCGGCATTCAGCATGCTCAACTCTTCACTGTTCTTATGTGGATTAGCATCCTGCACGCTCGCTTCCTCCGAAATTTCGATCACTAAATCACTCAGATCGTCTTCGTCGCTAGTAAGATCCACAGTTGGAGTGATATTGTTGGCGACATTTTCACCCGAAGCCGATGCGTTTAGATCCTTTAGGAGATTTTGTTGTTTCCTGCGGAGCAAAGAACAACATTGATACAATATTGAACCAAGACTTGAAAATCGGTATTACATAATCGCAAGCATTAATATTTACCATCAACATGATAATGGCAGGCAACTTAAAGAGATAAATTAATTTTAAACTATCATTTTATGTATTACTCACTTATGTTGTTATCTTGATATATTCATAATAAGCAATAAAATGTGATAAATCTTACCTCCATTTTTTTAACTGTAATCCTCTATTGATTCGGTATGCTGAAAGACACGGTCTTGGGCTTTTCGTTTGCTTACGAGAGAATCGCATGTTGTCACAAGGGTTCTCGCCAACGAACTAACAATGGAGTGCTGTAATTTAAACGTGCTAGCCCTTTAACACAGGGCCGTAGGAGGGAACACGGGAGGGTAAGCAGTGCAGCCTGTCTACCTCCATGCGAGGTGGGGTAGAGGATGTCTTCCCCTCTACCCTCTATGGGGTAGACAAGGGTTGCCACTTCAGGCCAGAGATTTATGAGCGTACGACACGTTCAACGTGCTCAGCGCTAGCATCCAATGAAAATGTGAAAACTCCTGTTTAGCAATGATGAAAACATTTTTTGGTTGTGGATATTTACAAAATGGATGTTGATTCCGACATGTATTTAGTAACATCAGATAGAGAATAAATAGTACTACACGTTTACGCCTCAAAAATTTCGGTAAGACGCCGGTTTAATTAACATCGAGGTACAAAATTATCATCTGTCATAACTGGCGTTATACAAAGCTTACATATTTTTTGTTCCTTTACACGGATTGTAAATAAATACCTAGATAAGTATGGAAAATTTCAGATCGTCATCTCATTTACGAGTGGAGTAAAGTTCACCCTAATTAGTGAAGAACTGCTTAGGAACCTGTCCGGGACCTCGCGGCTCTCAAGCACCACCTTAACGGCCTATTAAAACTCGAACATTTAACTTGTAAATCCTAACTACGCGAGATCGCAATGTCTTGATATCTCGTATCGCAACGAAATATCGTCTTTACTTGAATCGTTAGGGCATGTCATGTTATATAGTCTATCTTTCTCGTAACATATCAGAGTATCCGGAGAACAATTTCTAACTTGGGGCCACAACGTTTTCCCGATTTCATACTTTATGCAATAGTATTTTGAGTTTTTCCCGTATTTCCTTCTAGGGTATTTCTCGTCTTGAAGATCCGGCCCAATTGAAGAGAACAATTCATAGGCACAGGAATTTGCATAATCATTTCTTATTTAGTCGAAATCAAAATGTAACGGGCCAGATATAGGCCTCATTTTGTGTACTATATAGATATGAAGCCGCCGCACTCCTCGAAAGAAGACTGCAGAGAAAAATGTACTAGCCGAACTGTCTTCGGCTGTAGTCTGTCTCTCGTATGGAGCGACTTCATCATTACCATTGTTTTGCCTATCGATTGCTGGATGTACGTTCTACGTCATCTGCCAGGGACCTGTTAGGTGCAATTTATTTCGCAATTTTTGAAGTAATTATCTCAAGCCTCTTATGTAAACGTCGGCTTGAACTTCATCATTGGTTTGGTTGTTTTAAATCTTCCTCGATCTTAGGGCCCGCTGGCAGAGAGACCTTATTAAAGTGTTTAGACGTAGTAGTGTCCCGCTACAAAAGAAGTAGTAGTAGTTTCCCTTAATTTTGAAAGAAGTTCATTGATATGTTAGGTGGTCTTAGGTCCTGCAGCACTTACGTGAAATGAAGCTTCTTGCCGGTATTTGGAAGTTTCTTGTTCGCACTCTAACGAGTTATTTCTGTTTTTTACAAGCACATTGCTCGATCCGTCGGTTGGTATTATTTAGACCCTTAATTGTAATATCAGTGGTGGTCCAACATCACAAGTGGAGCTAATGCCATCACAAGTAAAGGCATAATTAGCTTCACAACTGGTCTGGCTAATGAAACTGAGTACACCACCTTTAGTGCCTCTCAACGGTCAATCTGAAGTAGAAAGTGTGAGAGCACGTCACCATTGAGAAAAAGAACCCCTCCATCCACTTATCTCATTTAGGGCCAAAAAACGAATACTGAAAGACTACTCATGATTGAGAGATCGTGTCAATTTACCATAATTAAACGGCATCTCCACACGATGCCGGCTGACAGCAGCAGCAGAAGACCTGAGATGATCATCCCAACGACATTCGGTGAAGTTTCGGGCCCACGGGTGAAAGCTTCGGTGAGCAAAAACAGCAGTGATATCGCCACACACATGCGGGAGTAAAACTTGAGCAGATCTGGCTTACCCTGCAAATAAATGGAACAAGTAAGATATCAAATAGAGGCATCAAGTCTCATGTTAAGTAACCGACACCCAATTGAATGGTATCCAACACCAACCTGAGAATTAGTAAAAGGCTAGGGTCTGGAACTACAATGCGAATAAAACACAAAATCGTAACCGAAAACCGGAGAAAGCGATCAAGCACCTTATTCTGGTAACAATATTATTACTAAAATTGATATATGTACTACTTATCAAATTACAGCAGTTAATAAATCATATGAATTTTAAAATTAAAAGTTGTAAAAAGTTGACGTTTTAACGTATGGACGGTATGCGTATTTGAAGTTAAATGTGGTTTTAAAGTTAAAAGTAATGAAAATTAAGTAATAAAAAGTCGTAGCAACATTGTCAATCAGTTCATTTAATTTTAGATGAAGGGTCAACACAGACGGCTAATAAACGGCGGCGAAGTGATCATGCGCTAACAGAAGGTGGCAACCGCAATTACAACGTACATTTGCTTATATATTTCTACCAGCATGGCGTGATTAGTGATTACCTCCTTTATTCCGTAGTAAAGCACGCTGGCAGCGTACACGGTGCCCAGACCTATGACCAGTAGCAGAAATATTCGCCATCCACCTGAGTATACGATAACAATTACTTGTCAATATAGAACCATTCTTATCTTGATAGTTTTCCAAGTGTCTGTTTAAATTACATGTCTTTATTTGATTGGGAAAATATTTCAACTACACAAAATTTCAGACTTGTTCTAATTGTTGTACAGTACGATTGTTCAGCTCAACAATGAAAACTTTCGAAATCAATCATTCCTACTTGTTTCGTAGTTATTATGTTCGATAACGGCCAGCAAGATGGCGTAAGCTGAGACTATCTGAAACGGAATATCTTGCGACTTAATTGAATTAAGGTAGGATATATAGCATAATGAACTATTCCTGCTAATTTCTATGAAATTTTTAAAATTCATCTACTATTTTAAAAAGAGCTATAGCAGAAATTCTTGTATATTCTCACGACCTAAGGGCTGGCAGTGAAAATAAAGTTTGAAATTGTTTGAAAACCCCCACTTCAAAATCATGAACGTAATTCTTCTCTCATTTCATTATCATTCTCTTCACGCGTTATCAAAAAATCATTCTACTTTATGTTCACAGTTTTCGTATCTTGCAAAAACTGACCGAGGTGAGGACAACTGCGGCCTTCCCAACGGCCGTGTAGCGGATGACACAGCACGCGTTGTTTGCACTCATGGCACTTTGCCAAATAACGACAGAAGAATTTCTAAACTAAAGTCCAACTGTACAAGACATCACTTTGATTTTTTAATTATTCACAATTAATTATCATTTAGGTCCTGTTATATTCTTCTTTATAACGAGTAGCGTTATGTGTTGCCAAACGACATCCAGTAATGAACAAGATATTTTTTCAAATATTTTAAATTATTGGTTTAAAATAATTAAGAGCAACAATCAAAACATTAATGTAGACAAAATCATGATTTAAGGTCATAGATTGGGGAACATTTTTGTCAGTGAGGGGGAAATGATGTATATCGTACCACGGTCTTTCAATTAACACTGATACCGTTGCTTTGGTGTAGTGTCCAGCGGCTCACTACATCATGTACTGAGCGAATAAAAAAACATTAATGCGGCAACTATTGATTATCCAAAACTATTTATCTTATCACGATTATCTTATCGTTTCTATCATCTCTGTCTTAGATCTCCTGGTTTCAGTTATGGAGGGAGATTTTCAAAAAGTTCTGCATGTAGACGAAAAGTTACTATATTTGGAATAATTTCTCATTTTGTTGGTAGTCGGAATAGCTAAAAGTATTACATGCTAATTTATGTGATAGTCAACCCTGCCTCTACAAACCCAATAACATCGAATATTCCGGCATTATATCGCATTAAATCATACGCCACACAAATTACACGTTTGCTTGTGTTTTCCGCGTATTGCTATTCTGATAACGACCGGTGAACACACACCCCGCTTCCTCCTAACAGATATTAATTACTATAATTTCACACAACTCTTCGTGATGATTGATGTGGACAAGCTTATCATGACTCGCCATACAGGCGAAACATGACGTGAACATTTTTTAACTCTTGTCAGTTTGTAAACGATACTGTCAGGAAATCAAATTCCTTTTAATCTTGAACTTGGCTAAATTTAAGGAAAAAATACAACGAAAGTTGAAATTTTTACAGTGCACTCAAAAGATGTAGATTAACAGGGGCCGAGATAACATTATGAAAGGCAAAAGTTGATACCGCGGCAAAAAAAATTGCAAACAACAATTTTGTCACAGGAATCGGGAATTTTGTACAACTATATTTGAATATGAAATGAATGCAAGTTGCACGTCGCTCTCTAGATTTTCTTCAGTTTAAACGTGGTCAACGAAGAATAACAATGAAGTAGTAGAGAAATTGACGCCAGAAGCTGCCGAGGTTCAACTTCAAATTGTTCATCGAATTTAACCTCTTAGCAGATTCTAACCTGGCAACCGCAGAAAAGCTATTTAGAAATTCTGTCGCATACTGGACCACCTTATGCAAAATAAATTGCAACATTATTGGAAATCTTACAACCGTAAGGAATTTACACTATTGAATTAAGATTCTACAAATTCATTTAATCAATTATCTCTAAAAAGATTTGGCTGTACATCTGTCGGTAAACAAAGCAAGCTGACCTTCTTCTGGTGACAGTAGCAGAGAATTATTAAAGATAGCTTTCAATTAGGTTTCCTTGTTCTGAGCGCGGTCCTGCGCGGAGAAGCTCAAGTGCGCAGCCAGACGCGGTCTCTTAGTAGTGCTGTGACGTAAGCGTGACGCAATGAAACGCGGACGTAACGCAATGAAACGTAGACGTGACGCAAAGTGTGACGTCACATGGAGGGAAAAGGAGTAATGACAGCAGAACCGCAAAATTGCAAAAACCATAGAGAAAAAGCAAAATTTTCGCTAGGCTCTTATCATGAATTAAACTGGCAAAATTGATGAAGTGGTAATTTCAATGATATATGACTAATCTACTCAACACCTATTTAACCAACCTGAAGTTTTTAATGCCCGTGCTGAGACTTAATGATGATACATGGGAATTGATGTTTAGAAATTTACAGGAAATCAGTAATAGGAGTAGAAATTTGGACGGGAGAAGACCGCATGAATATGTAAGGGTTTAACTGCGTATTGAAAGAGGATTACGGACTTTAATTAATTATTAATGACACAATATATATTATTTATATATTAGCAAAACCAACTGCCAACGCGAATTCCACAAACCCTACTCTAGGCTAGAATATATATTGGATATAATCCGATGATGTTATCATATCATTTGTTTAGATTTTTATTTGATTTAACTTAGTAATGACTCGATGTAAATTTAACACAGATTTAACAAAATTTTAATGCAGATTTAATATAAATTTGAAATTGAATCTGATATAAATTGGATTTAAAATATTGTAAATTTTGAAAATAACAGAACTGACGGCGACTCTGAACTGTTGAAGAGAGTCGTAAGATTACCGGCAGGAACTTGCGAGGGAAGAGTGATGTCTGACGGACGGAGTATGACGTCACTCGGGGGAGATGCATATGTTTCGTAGGACATTTGAGACACGGCCAAGTGGTAGGCTGGGGGAAGTGAGTTCAAACTCCCGTATGAAAAAGGCTTACAACTCCCGTGGGGCAGAGGCACTGTGAAGACAGAGGAAGATTCCTCCGGGGGTGGCCGGTGCGCAACGTCTCTGTACGACGGGGGATCATCTCCAATTCTATCCCCGTCCGTGGAAGTGAAAGATTCTTTGGCTGCCGGTGGGGATTCTGGTGACGAATTCGCAGCCGACGCGACTTTGACCTGTAGATCAGATCGGATTCATGAAAAATTTGCCTGTCGACTATTCCGTTATTGAACTAAATCAAAATGTTGTTTGAAATATTGGAAACAAATTTATTGAGTTTAGAATGAACAAGTTTTTGTGCTGCAAGTTCGCTTGTGCGAAAACGCCAATTCAAGAAGTCAGCGAAAAAAAAGCGTTAGTTATTGAATTTTCATTTCTTGTTATTATTTCTTTATTCGAGAGGAGACGCTCCTAAATTAGTGATACAGATAATAACTATCAAAATATTTTTCGATGGAAATCATTAAAATCAATAATCAAAGCATTCAATGTAAATACGGAACTTATTATGTCTTACTTAGTCACATTCATAACTTTAAAAGATGTTCAATGATATATTAGGTGGTCTTAGAAACGAATACTGAAAGACTACTCATGATTGAGAGCGCGCCAATTGACCATGATGAAACGGCATATCAACACGATGCTGGCTGACAGCAGTAGGTGAAGGCAGGTGATGATCATCCCAACCATTTTCAGTGAACAAGTTCCGGGCTCACCGGTGAAAGCATCAGCGAGCAAAAACAGCAGTGATATCGTCACGCACATGCAAGAGTATATACCGTGAGCAGTTTCGGCTTATTCTGCAAATAAATAGAGGGAGTGAGATATAAAATGAATTAGAGTTTGTTTAGGAGTCATCACGTCTCATGTTAAGTAACAGACTCCCAATTGAATGGCATCCAACAACAACCTGATAATCAAGACCTTGAGTACGTAGAAGGCTAGGGTCTGGAACGACAATGCGAATATAACATATGATCGTAACCGAAACCTAAATGGCGGAGTCGTAATTTATGATTCGTAATCAAAACCGGAGGAAGCTATCAAAAATCCGGATTCTGATAACAATTTTAACGCTTGAATAGATCTATTTACTACCTTTCAAAAACCAGCAGTCTAAATAAAATCATATGAATTTTAAAGTTAGAAGCTTCTACAAGTTAAATGTATTTAAAGTTAAATGTGGTTTTAAAGTTAAATTCATTGAAACTAAGAAGTAGAAAGTCATAGCGAAATTGTAAATAATTTAATATAATATTGGGTAATGGTTAACACAGACGGTTAAAGTGCTTATACTCGGGCTTGTACTCGCTCCTAGTACTCGTTACGAGTCCAGTTTTGCCGGCTGAGAGCCCAGACATGATGAGAGTATTGGGTAATTGGTTAACAGTCCGCAGGCGCCAGTGCGTCGTTGGGAGCTGTCCAGTTTGGTCTTTGCGTGGTGGAATATGGAACGTAACGATAATGACGCGTTTGAGGAAGCAGTTGGTACCATAGAGTCCACTCTTGCTGAGGTGAAAAACTTTGTAGATCAGCGTAGAGTGTGGGTGAGAGACCTAATAAGGTCTCGTCTAACTTTCAAAAAACCACTTTCTCAATTAGTTTTTGCTGTAATATTCATCGTGACGTACATCCCACAGTAGATCGTAATCTTGGAATATATATAAGAAAAGTTCAAAATCATCTGAACCTCTTGACGTTATTACAACCGTCGTCGTTAGGACAAGACACAGTTCATAACAATAGAGGATACAGAGCGGCCAAAGCAAGATACTGAGTGGCACACGTGTAGCTACTCATGCACTACGACTGCCGCAGTCCAATTAACTAGACTGCACACAACAACTTGAACTGCTTCACAGTATTTGGTGTGCAACTATTCGGAGCTAGCACTCAGGGCGAGTATTCGGAGCGAATGCAAACCCCATGTATAACCGCATTTATTAAACGGCGGCGAAGTGATCATGCGACAAAGGGAATGCGAACGCAAGGTGGCAACCGCAATTACAAAGTATAATTGCTCGTCTATTTCTACTATCATGGCCTGATTAGTGATTACCTTCCTTAATCCCTTGGAGAGCACGCTGGCTGCGCACCATGTGCTCAGAATTATGACCCATAACAGTGCTATTCGCCATTCACCTGAGAGTACGACAAGAATTACTTGCCTATGTAGAACCATTTTATCTTGATCGTTTACCTAGTGCCTTTAAATTATATAACTTTATTTGATCATTTAAATATCTCAATGACACAAAATTTCAGATTTGTTTTAATTATTGTGCATCGCGATTGTTTAACTCAGCAATGAAAACTTTCAGAATCAAGAATTCTTACTTGTTTCGGAGCAATGGTCTTCGACAACGATCTGCACGTAGGCGTAAACTGCGACTGTCTGAAAAGTAATGTATTAAGATTTAATTGAATTAAGGTAGGATATATAGCGTAACGAAGTATTCCTACAAATTTCTATGAAATTTTCAAAATTCAAATACATTTGCATTTAAAAAAGAAATACAGCAGAAATTCTTGTATAATCTCACGGCCCAAGAACTGACTGTGAAAAATAAACTGTGAAATTTTTTGTAAAAACTCCCACTTCAAACTTAGGAACTTATATTTTCGCTCACTACTTTGTCATTCTCACTTACAAGGTAAAAAATCAATTTACTTTATGTTCACCGTTTTCGTATCTTGCAAAAACCGACCACGGTGAGGGCGACTATTGCCTTCCCAACGGCCGT